ATCCTCCCCCTCCACCCTCCCCACTCCTTGATCCACCAACTTCCTCCTCGCCCTCATCTGCAGCCATTTCGGTTCCAGATGGACGGCCTCTGGGGGAACCGAGTGGATACCGCTGGTCCGCAGCGCGTCACACTCACGCTCGGGGGCCACAATCCCTTCACCAGCCCGACTGGGAAGGCCCCAGATGGCCCTTGCAGCCTCGCAGCACGCAAGTCGTGCGGGTGCCGCTGGACTTGGCGAGGAAGGGACCACTGCTTCAGTGCAACGCCCCGCTCCCGCCGACGAGGGGAAATTCGCCAGCCCAACGGGCCAGGGCGTGCTAAGATCTCCGGTAACAGGTAAACAGTATTTCTAGTTCGCGCGCGCGGGGCGGCCCCTAGGAGTCCCCGGCCGAAAAGTACCCCGGCAGGTCCCCGGCAGGGTGGGGGCCAGAGATGCCGGACTTCCTGGGCGCGGCCCTGGAGGCCTCTGGAGCGCTCCTGGAGCGCTCCAAGGAGACGCCAAATATGTGGCAGGCCCAGCAGCCTGAAGCCAAGAGCGCCCCAAGACGGCCCAGATGGCCTCAAGACGGCCCAAGATGCTCCCAAGATGCCCCAAGATGCGTCCAAGAGACCTCCCAAGAGGCCCCCACAAACCAAAATTTATGATTTTCATTGGTTTTTTGAGGATTTTGGCGTTCTCGCCTCTTCGGCTTACTAGCGCTCCAAGACGGCCCAAAAAGCCCTCAATATCGCCCCCATACGGCCTACGAGGGTTCAAGACCGTTCCGAAACGACCCCAGAGGGCCCTCAGAGACCCCCAGAAACCTCCAAGATGGCCCAAGATGCCCCAAGACGGCTCCAAGACCGGGCCCCGACGGGGTACCGGAACGGACATTTCGCGCTCTAAGCAGCAAGACGTCCCCAGGAGACCTCATAACGCTCCCAAGAGGCCTCAAGACGGCCCAAGATGCTCCCAAGACGCCCCAAGATGCGTCCAAGAGACCTCCCAAGAGGCCCCCAACGAGCCAAAATTGATGATTTTCATTGCTTTTTTGAAGATTTTGGCGTTCTCGCCTCTTCGGCTTACTAGCGTTTTAAGACGGCCCAAAAAGCCCTCAATGTCGCCCCAATACGGCCTACGAGGGTACAAGACCGAAACGACCCCAGAGGGCCCTAAGAGACCCCCAGAAACCTCCAAGATGGCCCAAGATGCCCCCAAGACGGCTCCAAGACCGGGCCCCGACGGGGGACCGGAACGGACATTTCGCGCTCTAAGCAGCAAGACGTCCCCAGGAGGCCTCATAACGCCCCCAAGAGGCCTCAAGACGGCCCAAGATGCTCCCAAGATGCGTCCAAGAGACCTCCCAAGAGGCCCCCAACAAGCCAAAATTGATGATTTTCATTGGTTTTTTGAGGATTTTGGCGTTCTCGCCTCTTCGGCTTACTAGCGCTCCAAGACGGCCCACAAAGCCCTCAATATCGCCCCAATACGGCCTACGAGGGTTCAAGACCGTTCCGAAACGACCCCAGAGGGCCCTAAGAGACCCCCAGAAACCTCCAAGATGGCCCAAGATGCCTCCAAGACGGCTCCAAGACCGGGCCCCGACGGGGGACCGGAACGGACATTTCGCGCTCTAAGCCGCAAGACGTCCCCAGGAGACCTCATAACGCCCCCAAGAGGCCCCCGAGAGGCCCCAAGAGGCCCCCAACAGGCCCCAAGAGGCCCCCAGGAGGCCCAGGAGGCTCTAGAAATACTCCCAAGAGGCCCTCGCACCACAAACAGAGCACCCCTAAACACGCCGAGGCAACCGCAGGCAAAGCCCGACCGAACCCTGGAACCTCCAGAAAGCGGGGCTCCATTGGCGGACCGCGCCAAACCACCATCCGCGAGCCCCATGAGAGCAGACGATGGCGCCACAAACCACTGACAACCGCAAACGTCGAACCAACTGCACCGGACTGGTGCACCCACCACCGAAAACAACGTCCCCCCCCCATCAGCGCAGCATGGCTCACGGACGCGCAGCCAAACCCCAGCGATTACGCATTATGGGCCGGCGGAATGAGCGAAGCGATTAAATAAAGAAATCACGGGGGGAGAAAAGAGAACAGCACTTGGCCATAGTGGGTAGTGGTAGAGACGGGGCAGAAAGAGAAGTGAAACATGACGGGAAGGGGCGGGGCAGAGGAAAGGATGCGGGGAGGGGGAGGGAACAAGAAGGTGAAGGAGAGAAGGACTACGACAACAGTCCACCTGTTCCCCATCAGCACCACCATCATCAGAATCAGCATCCTCATCATATCCGTCATCATCGTCATCATAATCAGAACCATTAGCGTCATCATCAGCATCACGATCCTAATCCTGTTCCATCTCATCTATTCGTCCTTGTCCCACTCGAACGTCCGCAAAACGGTCCTCGTCCGATGGTCACACACTCGTTCTAAGCCGCCTCGCCTGGAATCGCACACCCCTGATCAGTGCTTGGCTGACCGACGCGAGCAGCTCGGGGCGAGCAGGCGTCGGCAGAACAAGGAGCGCGATTTACAGATAAGATGCGCGCATGACACGCTTGAGCGACCCAGTTGGACCACTAAAAACTTCCAACAGGACCCAGGGGGCAGTCCGAGACGTCATCGCCTAGAGGGCCCCCGACAGCGCGCCAAAAACGAGGGCAGGTCCAGAAGGGCCAAATTGTGTTTTGGACCCCTCGGCACCCCAGAAAGCAGTATTCGATGTTTTCCGAAACCTCTGGGGACCTGCACTCGTTTCCAGGATCGCTACACCAGGCACCCAGTAAGGAGGGAGGCATACCATGACCGCTTTAAGAACAGCCCGGCGAATGCCATCTATTTGCCGACCAGGCGCGGGCATCTAGCGTTGAAGCCGACGAGCCACAATGTCCTGCAGCATGTGGGGACATAGACCTGCGACCATGCACGCGCACAAGATGCGCTGTGGATGATAGGGCGACGAGATCTATGCATATCCACTGCTCCTGGCCAGGCCAATCCTGGGCCCAGGAGCGGTGTATACGCCCTCCTGGCCTGGCCAGGGAGGCATATACACAGCTCCTGGGCCCAGGATAGGCCTGGCCAGGAGCAGTGGATATGCATAGATCTCGTCGCCCTAGATGAAGAGCCTGGCGTGGTCACTGTGCACGATCATCCGTGCACGCGCCCGCCTTGCTGCACGCGTGCGCGTCACTTTTCGTCGCAGCGCGGCAGGGGCAGCCCGCGCACGCGCGCACCCCGACAAGCCGGGCGACGGCACTCCGAAGTGCCCAGGTGCAGAACGAAAAGGAGGGGGGAGGAGGAGGAGGAGGAGGGGGAGGAGGAGGAGGAGGAGGAGGAGGAGGAGGAGGGAGGAGAGGGAGGAGGAGGAAGGAGGAGAGGAGGAGTGGGGAGTAGGAGGGGGAGGCGGAGGAGGGGGAGGGGGAGACGGGCGGCCGCGGAGGAAGGGGATGGGACTAGGGCCGTCACGCAGCGGGGGCCGCAGCAGGGCGCCCGGGACGGCCAAGCCGGTGCAGCATCCCTGGTAGCGGGCACGGGGCGGCGTCGCAACCACGCCCACGTGCTGGGGCAGCGGCTGCAGTGCGGGTCGCCGTGGACCAGGAAGTGAGGAGGAAAAACGAAGGCCCGAGGCAGCAAGTGTGTGTGTGTGTGTTTTTTCTGGGAGAAGACCCGCGATGATGAAAATTGCTGCCTTCCCAACTGATGGGGAGGGGACTCCACCATGCTCGTACAGGCCGGAGCGAAAAGGAAGAGGACAGAAGGAGGAAGCGAGGGAGGAGGAAGAATACCGAATGAGTTCGCGCGTCCAGGTGTCATGCCCAGGACGGATGACCCGAAACTGAATACCAGAGATAGGCGCCTTAACTATCGAAAGTTCACCTAGCTGTAGTGCCAACGACCAGCTGGGCGGCACAGGCAGAAGCTGAGCGGCACAGGCAGACACAAGTCAGAGCTGCAAGAACTCGCGACGTGTTTCGTAAGTTTGAAAGGAGCGGCTGTCTTAAACTACGGTTCAAGAGCGTCGACGAACCATCCTGGTCCGCGGACTGTCCCGAGGAGCATTCTCAGATCGCCTGTCAGTGCGACGGCGGAGTCCACTGTCACCGACCATGCTCAGAAGGCCATTCAGCATCCCGCCAAGACGGGCTCGGCACTAGAACGCCTGAGGCAGGAGCAAGGGAAGGGAGAGGAAGACGAGGAGGAGGAGGAGGAGGAGGAGGAGGAGGAGGAGGAGGAAGGGGAGACTGGCTGGACTCCCAAATCTAACACCGGCGGCGCACCGCGTCCGCCTCGGTCCGACGGGGAGCAAGATGGGACCCCCGTGGCTGACGCGACCGGCTGGGGCGAGCAGCCATCAGCGGCGGGGCGCGCATCCCCAGACACCCAGAAATCAGATTCGTCGAGCGCCTCCGCCCAGCGCGCCGCGGCCGCTGCCGGCGGGCGCAGAGTTTCCTGCGTGGGCCAGGGTGGCCGCAGCTCGCCAGGGGCGGCGAGAAAGCATGTGCAGACGGCGAGGGGTTGAAGGGGAGGAAGGGGCGCAGGGGAGGAGGGAGGGGGAGGATCGCTCTCGCCAGGCATCGCGCCGAGCCAGGCGCGCCCAAGACCGCCTCAAGGGAAGGGGAAGAAAAATCGTTTGCGCCAGGCGCCGCGCGGAACCCGGCACGCCTCAGACCGCTTCAAGGAAAACATGCTCCACGCAACATTCTACATGAGAAGGGGGGCCGGCCGAAGCGCCGTATCTTCAGAAGCATGGCAGGAAGGCCGTACGTCGGCGCCCGCTCGCACCGTACATGGAGTTCCCCATGGGCACCCGAAACGCGCGAAAAGTGCGCCGAAAGGGACGGCGCCGCCGTGCGGAACCTCTCACTGAAGACGCATGTGGGGACCCCTAGGAGGAGGCCAGGGTCCTCGCGAGGGATGCGCCGAAATGTGCGGCGCCGCCATGCGGCGAGGCCGTAGGCGTAGCTCCCTGTGGGCCCAGGGTCCTCGCGAGAGGTGTGCCGC